ATCTGTTTGTGTCTCAGTTCTTATTTCCTTTGCATATATATTCCTAGCAATGCAATGTAGGTCATATGGATTTGTATATTCAGATTTTTTTAGGAAACACCAAACTGTCCTCCAGAGTGGTTGTACCATTTTACAATGATTGCCACCAGCAGATTGCCTACTCTCCACATCCTTTCCAACATTTATTATTTACTATTGTGATGGCATAGTCTGCTGTTAGGGACCTCTTCAGTGTCCTGAATAGCAGTGATATCATTCTGTAGACTAAGGTGTACTTGATACAGGCCATTGTCTTTGCAATCACTTGCTATGCATCAGAGAGCTGGACAATGACTAGGGAGGAAAGAAGGAGAATTGATGCTTTTGAGCTGGGGTGCTGGAGAAGAGTATTGAATGTACCATGGACTGCCAAGAAAACAATCAGGTTCATCCCAGATAGGGTTAAACGGGGCTGCTCCTTGGCGGCAATGATTTTGAGGCTTCTTCTGACATTCTTTGGACATATTGCAAGGAGGGACCAGTTTTTGGAGAAGGAAGCTATTCTTGGGAGGGTGGAGGAACAGCACAGGAGGGGAAAATGCAGTGATGGGGTCATTGAGGTGGGTATGTCAGAGACAGTGAGGTAGGCGCTGGACAGAGCAGAGTTTAGGGCTGTTACACATAGGGTCACTATGACTTGCAAGCGACTCAACGGCACATAACAACAACCCTGATAAACTTTGCCAGTGCTACTGATATGGCATGGTATCTCATTGTGTTACGGAGTTTTATCTCTTATTGCTTGGAATTTTGAACATTTTTTCATGTGTCCATTGGCTATCTGATCGCATCACTCTTGTGAAAAGTCTATTTTTATTTTCTCATCTTGTAATTTGGCTATCAGTCTTTTTCTTTTGGAGGCTGAGGAGTATAAGTATTGCATTGTGGCCTGACAAAATATATTGTATTATTTTAATGTGATTTGTGTCCTAACATATGATTGATTCTGGAGAGTATATCATGTGCCCTTCAGAAGAATTGACTTATAGTTGGGTGCAGTACAGAGAATGTGGTTAATTTCTAGTCTTTGTTTTCATTCCCAGTATCTCAATTTGTGTTGTGAATAGTATTCTAGTTGTATTGCTTTCTCGGTTAGTTCTCTTTGTTACTGTAGGGGAATCTCCCTGTCTTTTAGATATTGACCTTGTAGCCTGCCACCTTACTAAATTGGTCCACTAGCTTTTACAATTGTTTGTGGTGGGTTGTTTGTTTGTTTTTTGTTGATCATATGATCTTTATAAAGCAACAGTTTATCCATCTCTTTGCCAATCTGGATGCCTTTTATTTCCTTCCCTTGTTGTATTGCCCTAGCACGTAGTTCCAATAGAATATTGAATAGAAGTGGTGACAGTGGACATCCTTCTCTCATCCCTGTTCAAAAGGAAAATACTTTTAGTCTTTCTCCATTGAGAATGATATTGGCTCTTGGTTCTGTATATATACTTTTCACTATGTTGACGAACTCCCTTCTATTCCTATTTTGCTGAGTGTCTTAATCGGAAAGGTGTGTTGTGCTTTGGTGTGGTTTTTTTTTTTGTTGTTGTTGTTGTTGTTTTTGTTTTTTTTTATAAAGGTTTTTTCTGAACCAATTTCCAGAATCTTCTTGACATTGAGCCTCAATCCATACTGGAGGCTGCAGTCGTTGACCCTCTGCAGCAAGCACTTCAGGTTCTCCTCAGTTTCAGCAAGCAGGGTTGTGTCATCTACATAATGTAGATTGTTAATTGATCTTCCACCAATCCTAACGTCACATTTTTCCTTATAGAGTCCAGCTTCTCAGACAATCTGGTCTGCAAACAGGTTGAAAAGGCATGGAGATAGGACACATCTCTGGTACACACCTTTCCCAATTTTGTACCATGTAGTGTTTCCCTGCTCTGTTCTGACAACTGACTCTTGGTCCAAGAGTATAGGTTTTGCATTAGAACGATCAAGTGTTTTGGGATTCCCATTCTTCTCAGAACCAGCCACAGTTTGTTTTAATGCATACAGTTAAATGCCTTTGCATAATCAATGAAACACAGATAGACATTCTCCTGGTATTCCCTGCTTTCACTTAAGATCCATCTAACATCAGCTACAATGTCCCT